TTGCACCCCCTCAGGAGATAGGTTCGAGCCATACAATCTCGACGTCAGGGCACTTCCGCATAGGTATCTTCGAGTCTTCTCAGTATAGGTCTCATTCCTTTATTCGTACCTTTTATTATAATTCACTCACATTATTCTTGAGTAGTTGCATGCTCTGAACATGGTTCTGCATTAGTATATTTCTTTCTAATTACGTATTTTATTCGCATGCATGTTTAAAATGGCTTCATCACCCTCAGGTGTCGGCCAACATTTGCCTATCCTGATATTTGGGGAGATTAGGGTTGGAGCGTGTCAAAATACCTGCACTTAGAACATTTCCCCAGTCCACGTGAAACTTTTCCATTGAATTTATTGAAGGAAAATCTATCTAGATTTAAGAGTCGGACCAGCAGCTCACTATTAATCACACATGTAGTGTCTAAACAAAAAATTCGGGGAACATTGTTTGACAAGTTTGTCATCCTAATTCATATTTGAGTTGAAGTCCCACAACTTTTAGTATGATTTGGTGGCTATCAGTATTGTAGTTCTAATTCGTCTTTGGCGAAAATCGAACCTAAGACCTCTCCCATACCAATGAAGCAAGATAGTGTATTTTTATTGCAACAAGAATTCTACCATGACATTACATATGTTAGCCAAGGTACTTTAAACAAGCAATAGGGCCTACCGGCGCCGTTCTTTCCCCGATTATCTTTAGTTTGTTTAAGATTATCAAATCTTCAATAGAATTGATCACTAATTGACCACCTTCTGTTTGCTTTGCCATCTTGATCAACAAACCGAGTTAGATGTCATATATTTGTTTGAGTAATGTATTTTACGTTTTAGTCAAAATACAGCAAACCAAATAATAATTAGGTAGAGTAATCAAGCTAGTTTTGTATAATTACCAATGTGCAAGGCGAAAAAGACGGGGTTTTAAAGCTAGAGACGTTCAATTCATGCTTTTTTTATGATAGCTATTTAATCTTGTTAGTTAATCCATGCCATGGTCGCCTGTTTGTCTTCTATACCTAATGTCATACATACACCATAACATGTTATATGGCCACTCGAGGGGTCTCGCTGCACAAAGCTAACAGCAATCTAACAGTAACCGAACTCGCCGAAGCAACTCAAACTAACTTAGAGCTGTGATCTACTACTTTTAGGTCTATGATTATCTGTTGTGCAGGCTTTAGTTCATGGAGTCTTTCAAAACTAAACTCTAGCATTTCTATTTTCTAGGTAGTGGATTCAAGGCATGTTGTCGTCATTCTGGGAGTGGGAAATGTCCAGTTTTGCTTTTCTCTGAGACTTTTGAAAGGATGTTTGGATGCAAGGAATAGAGTCCAATTTTGTGTTCGTGAGTTTTCCGGTCTTTTTGGAAAATGTCCAATTTTGTGTTTTGTGAGTTTGCAAGGGATAATGTAACATATAAGACGGATTTAAAAGAAGACTTTCTTTGCCACGTGTTTAACATAATATATTAGTAAAGGACAGTGAGTGGTATAAATTGAAAAAATTAATATTAATAGCAACAGTAGTACTTAGCAGGTATTGCTCTTCAATATACGAATAATAGTACAAGTTACACATAAATTAAATCGACATAACCTAATCTCAAATTTCTTGTACACCCACTCACAGTTTTCCACGAACCTCACTCTAACACAAGAGTTCTTTCACCAAAAACCTTTCACTCTAGCTTTCTTGATTTCTCTCAACCGTGGCCATGGAAGGGCCAAATGCTCTCACTGTCTCTTTGGATGCTTCCCTGATGCCTGCCCTCTCACTTGGCAAGCATACCCAAATGCTTCCAAAGTCAAAAAAGCAAGCCTACTCTTGCTTTTCTTTTGTAGGACTTCACATGATCTACATCTTTCAATGCATCCCACCGATAGATGATCTCTCTACCGACAGCAACTACACGGTTCAGTTGTTGCCAGCTCAACATCACAACAATTATATACGATGCCCTTCCCACCACCCAACTCCATTAATTTCAAAGGTGATGCTCCAATTACTTTTGTCGTCTTCTTTTCTACTTAATATATCATTTTTTTTTCATCAATTAACATCAAAGGCATCTTTTCCAATTTTGCTTTTCTGAGTTTTGCTTTTCTCTGAGGCTTTTGAAAGGATGTTTGGTTGCAAGGAATAGTGTCTAATTTTGTGTTTTGTGAGTATGCAAGGGATAATGTCACATATAATCTTATATATAAAGCCAGAGCCCCACTTTGGGGTCACGGTTTCAACAAAAAAGAATATGGCCAAAATGCCCCTCGTCCAAAAACATCAAAAGCGGCAAAAAAGATGCATAAAATAATGCAAGGGTAATTTTGTAATTTTAACAATGTTTTTTTTTTAAATTAATTGTTTGTTGCAGTTTTTTGTTTTTTTATAATTAGTACCTCATAATATGCTAGCAATAATATGATTTAGTTTCTCTAAAAAAGGTCTTTCGCATGGGGATAATAATGTGATCAAATTAATTGTCAAATGATTGTTTTTTTTTAACAAAAGATATTATCTACATTGAGGGAAGGGGGTGAGCTTAGCCTCACAATGGATTAGCAATAATATGATTCTATCAATTGTTTTTTAAATATTATTTTGTCTATTCTTAATGTAAATTCTATAGAGACCGATTTTATTATGTGAATTCAACTGCTTTAATTGGTTTATGAGGGGTTTCTTCTAGCATGATTTAAAATTATTTATTTGCTTCAAATATTTAACTTGTCTTTTGTCAATTTACACATATAAATACATTTAAAAGTATAAGTACAAGTTACACATGAGTTAAATCAACAAAACCTAATCTCAAATTTCTTGCACACCTATTCACAGAAGTTTCTTAAGAGCCTCACTCTAACCCCAAGAGTTCTTTCACCAAGAACCTTTCACTCTAGCTCTCTTGATTTCTCTCAACCGTGGCCATGGGAGAGCCAAATGCTCTCACCATCTCTTTGGATGCTTGCCTGCCTTCTCACTCGGCAAGCATACCCAAATGCTCCAAAAGTAAAAAAAGCAAGCCTACTCTTGATTTTCTTTTTGTAGCACTCCACATGATCTGCATCTTTCAATGCATCCCACGGCAAGATGATCTCTCCACTGACAGCAACCACACGGTTCAATTGTTGCCAGCTCAACATTATATGAGCCAATCACAACAATTATATATGATGCCATTCCCACCAACTCCATCACTTTCAAAGGTGACTCACCAACTACTTTCGTCATCTTCTTTTCTATTTAATATATCATCTGTTTTTAGAGAACTTTAACGAAAAACTTCCGGTATTGTTTATTTTAACGAAAAATTATATTTTTACACTAAAAAGTCAATCATGGTATTATTCACTTTACTCTTTATTTTATCATTATCGTTAAAACTTAAAGTTTTTAAACCATTTTCATTAGTTTCCTTTTTTTTCAATCAATTAACAGCAAAGGCATCTTTTTCTCTCATCATTTTAGTTATTCAATAGTAATCTATGGAGTACGGAATATTTTGGCAAATCACTTTCAGTGCTTTTGTGCTAGGTTGCATGGCTACAGACAAGGTTTGGTTCTGGTTTGTGAGGTAACTGTCCCTAGTTCAATAAATTTAACAAAGTGTGCACTATTAGTTTCTACCATTAACTTTTGTAAATTTCTTTTGTTAAGCTGATGATATGGCATATAAGTAGATCTCACATATCAATTCTAAATGTTTGTTGAGGACCAAATCTAAATTAGGGTCAAAGTTTAGGGACTAATTGTGCGTTCTATGTTATTTTACATACAATTGACAAAAATCTCACGGAAAGACCAATAGTGCACATTTTGTTAAATTATGAGTCCTCAATTAGCGAACTTTTGGTTTAGGGACTTAAATCTAATTTTGAGTGAAAATTTAAGTACCACTTCTAAATCTGCGACAAACAGAGGCTTGGAAAGATTTAGGCTACAATCAACAAACAGGTTGGAAGAAAGAAGGGGTGTGTGCTAGAAGGAGGTAAAAAACAGTGAGATCTGCGACATTGACCGAAAAAGAAGAAGAAGAGTTGTGACTGGCCCATAAATTAAAGAAGAAAAAAGAATTGGCAGCATGTGCTTTTGATGCGATGAATCAGGATCAATCTGACTAACAAAAGCAAAAAAGCATTTTCTTTTCTCACTTAACACACTTAAACCAATTGGAAATTTCCTTGTCTCTTACACGAAGCAAAAAAGCAAAAAAGCAAAAAAGCATTTTGTTTAAAGAAAAGCAAAAAACTTGTCAATACTAAAGTACACTAACACAAAATTAAACAAGGAGGCAGATTCTTCTAGTTGTGGTGCTCCTTCTATTCCCTCCTATTTTATGCGATCACGGTTAAGTTACGTCAATATTTTATATTAATTTTTTAATAGAGATAATAAGATAAAAAGCAATAAGAATATAAAATGTTGACGTGGCTTAACCGCGATAGCACAAATAGGAGGACATAGAAGGTCACCACAACTAGGAGGCCAGACAATCTGCCCCATTAAACAAACTCACGATGTCATCAGCCAATCAATTAAACAAAACAAAGAATGATAGAACAAAACATCGTCAATCTTTCTTAGAAATTATCTATGATACATTTCCCACCAACTTCATCACTTTGAAAGATGACGCTCCAACTACTTTAGTGGTTTTCTTTTCTACTTCTTTTTATTATTACTAACATTTGTCTACATTTTGTATGGATGAACATATTTTTTCAGAAAATAAGAAGGAAAGAGGGAGACAAAGAGAGAGAATGTGGGGAGTAGAAGATTTTTGTTTTTGATTTTTTTTTTAATATTAGAGATATTTTAATATTATCTGTATGTGAGGTTTTAATAAAAAAACAGTAAAATTTGGATTTGTGAAATTACATTATTGTTCATTATTTTTTTGTGTGATAGAAAATTAAATTATATTTTCATCCTCTTTTGGTTGACAAAAAGAATTATATTAATTAGATGATATATATATATATATATATAATACCCTTCCCACCAACAATATCACCCCTCTCTCTCCTTTCCCCTTATCTCCATCAGATCCTCTTTGTTCTCTATCCATCACATTCCCTTCTCTCTCTCCATCTCTCACCTCGACCTCTCTTCCTTGCCTTCCGATTTGAGACCATCCACCGCTTTGAAAGTGAGGGAGAAGAGGAGGGAAGCGTAGATTAGATCAGAGACTCAAGTTTGAGGCTTCAGTTTTTGTATTTTCAAATTGCCCCAAAGATTTTGAATATTTCAAAAACTGCCTCAAAATATTTCAACCCGTGTCGGCGGCGTATAGGAGGCGTGTCCAACCCGTTGACCGGTGTCTTGACCATGTCCAACACCTGACACTTCGGAGTTTTGGAGTATCTGTGCAACCTAGCTTCTGTGCTCAGAGCTAGGTGTCTTTACCGTGTCCAGCCCGTGTCGGTGCGACTGTGCTTAGAGCTGATTGCTTGGAACACTTCCAATTTGCGTTGTGCAGCCAAATGGCCCGGGCTTCTGCTCCTGTAGTTTTTCCATGGAAGTACCATGTGTTTCTGAGTATCAGAGGTGAAGACACCCGCCGGGGTTTTACAGATCATTTATACAAACAGTTGGAGGCGCGAGGAATCAAGACTTTCAGGGACGAACCAGAACTTGAAAGAGGGAAAGATATCAATCCAGAGCTCCTGAGGGCAATTGACCAATCAATGTCTGCGATCATAGTTCTTTCGACAAACTTTGCTTCTTCAAGTTGGTGTTTGCGAGAACTTACTCATATTGTTCGTTGCATGGAAGAGAAAAAGAGAATTTTTCCCATTTTTTATGGCGTGGATCCTTCTGATGTACGCCATCAACGAGGGAGTTTTGGGGAAGCCTTTGCGGAACATGAAGTAAATTATCGGCAACACATGGAGGAGGTAAATGAGTGGAGAAAGTCATTAAAAAGGGTGGCTAATCTTGCCGGGTGGAATTCAAAGCATTATAGGTAAGCGTAGGAGGCAACAACTGACGTTTATAGCTTAAGAAGACCAATTTTTTACTATTGAGTTTCGATGTTAACATGCACTTTATTTTACGGTGTGATGATTTTTTATTTACGTCATTTGTTCTTCTTGTAGGTATGATACAGAGCTTATCCAAGGAATCGTCAATACACTATGGGAGAAAGTGCACCCTACGTTGTCAATGTTAGATTCCTCAGAGAGGTTTGTCGGAATTGATTCTAAACTGGAGGAAATAGATTTGCTTTTAGATACAAATGCAAACGATGTTCGCTTTATAGGGATATGGGGGATGGGTGGAGTGGGTAAGACAACCCTAGCTAACTTAGTTTACAAGAGAATTTCTCATGATTTTGAAGGTAGCAGCTTTCTTGCTAATGTTAGAGAGGTGTGCTCTACGGATGGTATAGCTCATCTACAAAAGCAGCTTCTTTCTGAAATCTTAGGGGAAAATAACATACAAATTTGGAATGCTTATAATGGAATCACTAGGATAAGTAGGTGTTTGTGTAATAAAAAGGTTCTTCTCATACTCGATGATGTGGATCAATTAGACCAACTGGAAAAGTTGGTCAAACAAAAAGAGTGGTTTGGTTTCGGGAGTAGAGTCATCGTTACAACTAGAGATGAACGTTTGTTAGTTGAACATGGTATAGAGATGGTATATGAGGTTAAGCCATTAACCCAAGATGAAGCTCTTTTTCTCTTTAGTCGGAAAGCCTTTAAAGATGATGAGTTGGAAGAAGATTTTTTAGAACTGTCGAAATGTTTCATCAGTTATGCAAGCGGTCTTCCATTAGCTCTTAAAACTTTAGGGTCTTTTTTGTACAAAAGAGGTCGAGATGAATGGAAGAGTGCACTACAAAAACTGAAGCAAGCTCCTAATAGAAAAATTTTTGAAACATTGAAATTAAGTTATGATGGACTAGATGAGTTTGAGAAGAGAATCTTCCTTGACATTGCATGTTTCCATAAGTTTTGTGAAAAGGAGCGAGTAATTGAAAGCCTACAAAAGTGTGGCTTTGTTGGCGCTTGCATTGTGATCGAAGTTCTTATTGAGAAATCTCTCTTAAGTATTTCAGACTCTTACGTGTATATGCATGATTTGATACAAGAAATGGCATGGGAGATTGTTCGACGAGAGTCTTATGATGAGCCAGGTGGTCGTAGTCGGTTGTGGCTTCCTAATGATATCTGGCATGTGCTTGCAAAGAATACGGTAAGAATTTGCATGAAAATGAAAATACCAAAGTTTGGATAGGACACTATAATACTATTTAACATGGTAAGAGACTTGATTACGAAATTAACTATTCCTTTAATCTTATTTATCAGGGATCAGAAGCAATTGAAGGCATAGTCTTACGTTTGAGTGAATTTGAAGTGGCAGACTGGAATCCTGAAGCATTCACTAAGATGTGTAAGCTGAGGTTGCTCGACATTCATAATGTGAGGCTTTCTAAGGGCCCAAAGCATCTTCCGAATGCTTTAAGAGTTCTCAAATGGAGCTGGTATCCCTCTAAATGTCTACCACCAATTTTTCAACCGGATGAACTTAGAGAACTTAGTCTGCAGCATAGCAAAATCGATCACCTTTGGAATGGAATAAAGGTAGATGATTGCACAATTGATTTTTAATTTGTCGATTACAATAATTGTAGTGTCTGAACATGAACTATTGTAACATTTCTATTTTGTACAGCGCTTGGGCAAGTTGAAGTCTATCGATCTTAGTTACTCACACAACTTGACAAGGACCCCAGATTTCACAGATATTCAAAATCTCGAGGAGCTGGTGCTTGAAGGTTGTACAAATTTAGTTGAGATTCATTCATCCATTGCGTTTCTCAAAGGGCTTAGACTTCTAAATCTTAAAGACTGTAAAAGTATTAAGTGTCTCCCAGACAAGGTAGAAATGGAATCTCTTGAAGTATTTGATATTTCTGGCTGCTCAAAAGTGAAAAAGATTCCAGACTTTGTTGGAGAAATGAAAAATTTCTCTAAGCTTTCTTTAAGCCGAACTGATGTTCAGGAAATACCTTCCTCAGTTATACGTCGGAGTTTGGAGCGGATTGATTTAAGTGGAATTGCTTTGAGAGAGACGGAATCCTCCCTGGTTTCAGTGAAAAATTTTGAACTATCAAATTTTCTTGGATGTAATGCACCACCAGCTAGATCATTGCGTTCCTTCTTCACTTTTGGCGAATTTCCAACAAAGACTTCACAGCCTGTGAGTCTGGTCTTAGATTCGCTGAAAGATTTATGCTTTCTGAAGGATTTAAATATGAAGAACTGCAATCTTTGTGAAGGAGCAATTCCCGAGGAGATTGGTTTCTTGTCTTCTTTAGAAACTCTAGATCTTAGCGGAAACCATTTGGTTAGCCTTCCTGCAAGCATCAGTGGGCTTTCTAAGCTGAAGTACTTAAATCTGGAGAATTGCAATCTTATTGAAGGAGCAATTCCCGATGATATTGGTTCCTTGTCCTCTTTACAAGGACTAAATCTTAGCGGAAACCATATTGTTAGCCTTCCTGCAAGCATCAGTGGGCTTTCTAAGCTGGAGGATTTAAATCTAAAGGACTGCAATCTTTGTGAAGGAGCAATTCCCGATGATTTTGGTTTCTTGTCCTCTTTAGCATTACTAACTCTTAGCGGAAACCATTTTGTTAGCCTTCCTGCAAGCATCAGTGGGCTTTCTAAGCTGGAGTTTTTTGAATTGCGAAATTGTAAAAGGCTTCAACAACTGCCAGCCATTCCATTAAACAGCGAATTATATATGGACACGGAGAATTGTACTTCCTTAAAAATGCTCCCATATTTACCACATGCTTGCAGAGTAAGCAGGTTTTGGTTGACTTCTGTCAATTGCTTCAGTTTGGCTGGAAATCAAGGTTGCAATGCCACACTATATTCAGCACTAAAGAGATTCCTTCAGGTATTTCTCTTTCTCCCATCATCCCTCGTCTCCTTAGTTTTTTACATTTATTTACGTTGTTCCTTTGTGCAGGAGCTCCCTCATTTTCTGCAAATGTTCAATATACTAATTCCCGGAAGTGAAATTCCTGACTGGTTCAATAACCAAAGTGTAGGAGATTCGGTGATTGAAAAACTACCTCCGCTCTCATGCAATAGCAAGGAGATGGGATTTGCTTTATGCGCTCTATTTGTAGCTGGTCAAAATATTTCAGCTTCCACTAGCGGACTAGATTCGCTACTAAGTGGTACTCATGGAATTTTCTGTCGTTACAGTTTTGGTTCAAACAACACCTTTCCAGACAGCGGTCGGACTATTGCGAGTTCGCTTGGTGAGGCAGCGTCAGATCACCTTTGGTTGGTCGGTCTATCTAGGAAATTCCTTTTGGAAGTAACCAGTCGTAGGGAGAAATTGTGTGATCAGATTCAGTTTCGTTTCGAAACAGTAAATGATTTCGGAAGCAAGACATGCTTGAAGGTGAAGAAGTGCGGAGTCTGTCCGGTGTATGAACAAGATACAGAAGAGGAGATCAACTGAACGAAGAAACAGTTCCAACAGAAGCATTTCATTGTGAGGATATTACCAATTGTGATTTTGACCAATAAAAAACTGTACGAGACGTGATTAAGCGAAGACGTGAACAATACGGTAATGAAGCAGGACCCAGTGAAAGTGGAAGTTCCTCCAAAGACCAAGTTGAAGAGGCATAGTTTGGCGAAAGAATGGTCGGAGTAAGTTGACTTTCATGTGTAATTAGGAGGACTATGTTTCCCGTTTAAGTCTATAATTAGGGTAAATATTATTGCATATTTTTACCTAGTTAATCAAGTCTGATATATATATATATATATATACTTGGTGAGAACAATAGCATCAGACAATTAAAATCCCAAATGAGGGCAGAGATCCTAGTATTTCCGCTTTGTCTATTCCTTTCAGAAAAAAATTATGAACCCCTCACGGAGAATGTGTTGCCCCTCCATGTTGCCATCACCGATTCCACCCTAACCGATGTTATACCTACTATTCACAGTGAAGCAAAATCAATTCATGGTACTCAACAAAAGCTTCAACTCCAAAATTTCACCTACAAAGCTTCAACTCCAAAGCTTCGCCTACAAAAGCTTCAACACAAAAGCTTCACCTACAAAGCTTCAACTCCAAAGCTTCACCTACAAAGCTTCAACACAAAAGCTTCACCCACAATAGCTTCACCTATAAAAGTTTCACCAACAAAAGCTTCACCACAAAAGCTTCACCAACAAAAGCTTGACCCACCACAAAAGCTTCATCTACAAAAGCTTCACACTATCTTGATCAATTCATGGTACCCAACAAAGCTTCAACCTCAAAGCTTCACCTATAAAGTTTAATATATATATATATATTTTTTTTTTTTTTCGGAAATTCTAAAATTTAAAAATTCAAAAATTCGAAAATTTAAAAATTCAATAAAAAAAAACCAAAAATTAAAAAAAAAAAAAAAAATTGCCTAGGCCTCCTCTTATTTGGGCCTAACAACTTTTATAACAAATATATATGAAGGAGGAGTTTTTGGCTACTAACAAAACACCTCCTTCGTCAACTCCCTCGACCGAAGACTTGGGGGACTCCTACCATATGCTACTGCACCTTGATACTTGGAAGTCTCATGACTACTTAGTGACTTGGATTTTTTCAAGTCTCCAACCGAGAAGTTTTCCTCACTCGGGAAATTAAGGGAGCACTACCTCAACCTACATGCTTCACTCACAAAGCTTCAACAAAAGGAAAAATTCAAAGAACTTAGTGAAGAATGCCTTGGTGTATTTAACACAATACGTTAAAATGAAGCAAAGTTTGTTTATTGATATCTCCGATAAGTTACAAATATGTACATATACATGAATCAAAATAAACAAACAAGAGGGAGCCTTCACAACGGTTGCTCATGAGAAGTCTCAGCAGTCGGCAGAGCACTCAAAAGATGAGGCACCAGAGGGTGATTATTTGGAGCCTCAGTACTAGGCAGAACCCCAGAAGGAGGAGGCACCGAAGGTTGATCATTTGGAGCTTCATTACGCGGTACAGCCCTAGAAGACGAAAGCAATAAATGCCTTTGGAACAAACCCACAAACCTCTGATGATCAAGTAAAATGTCGAACTTCCTCTTCATATTTGTAGCGTAGTCATGTGCGAGATGTGCAACTATTTATTCTTATGCTTGAGCCCTCTGATCTCCTGTTTGAGACTTATCACTTCAGCCGCCAATGATTCAACTTGGCGGGTTCGAGCAAATAGGCGTTGGGCCATATTAGACACAGAACCTGCACACTGAACACTGAGAGCCAGAGAATCCTTAACAGCCAACTCATCAGACCGTTTGGAAAGTAGTCTGTTATCTTTGGGAGTGAGAAGGTTCCTGGCCACCACCGCAGCGGTCATATCATTCTTCATCACAGAGTCCCCAACGGTAAGATGACCAGTAGGGGATAAAAAGGATATGCGCCATATGTTGTCTTGAGAAGGCATGGCTGCCTCTTCACCAAAGTTCAAGTCAAAACGACGGTCGGATGGGCCAGACATTCTCAGAAATGATGAAGGAGAAATGAGGTGCAATAAATCTCTGAAGTAAAGGGAAAATTCCTACAAGCAATAACTCTCTGAATGTACTTCTTGCACACAATTGGTGCCCTTATAAAAGAAATGGCAACAGAGCCGTTGGTTCAAAAATCGAAAAGGCACCACTCTCAGGATTCCAAAGAGGCACCACTTTCCACACGCAACATCAGCTCCTCGGGTACCACAGATAACTTTGCCAAAGATCTCTGACAAAGTTTAGACACATAAATTTTGAAGGTCCAGCTACCCTACTATTACCCACAAGGGTAAAGGAACAGCACCACTGCTTGATAACTAGAAAGTCTCAATGTATGTCAACCTCCGTGCTTCGTGGCAAGGCAGACTGGCACAAATGCCCAACCTTTACTCACATTCGAGAAAACACTCCCAACAAGATTGCTTGGTAAAAAAATCGAAGAGGCACCAGTCTCCGAATCTCGAGAGCCAAACTCCCAACAGGATTACTTTCTCAAAAATCGAAGAGACATTGCTTTCCGAATCTCAAGAGTCAGACTCCCAACAGGATTGCTTTCTCAAAAATTGAAGAGACACCACTCTCCGAATCTCGAGAGTCAGACTCCCAACAGGATTACGTGCTCAAAAATCGAAGAGGCACCACCCTCCGAATCTCGAGAGCCAAACTCCCAACAGGATTACTTTCTCAAAAATCGAAGAGACACTGCTATCCGAATCTCAAGAGTTAGACTCCCAACAGGTTTGCTTTCTCAAAAATCGAAGAGGCACCGCTATCCGAACATCGAGAGCCAGATTTCCTTGGATAAAGCTTGTCTGCAATCTTCACACGCAACATCAGCTTTCCAGATACCACAGACCACTTTTTCAAAGTGCTCTGACAAAGTTAAAACACGTGAAGCTTGCAGCTCCCACTACATTGCTATGACCAAGAAGGGTAAAGGAATAGCACTACTACTTGTTGTTAGGGAGACTCCTATATATGTCGACCTCCATCCTCCACAGCCAGGCAGACCTGCAAATAAAAAAAAAATGCTCAACTTTTCTTCACATCCGAGAGGGCACTCTCAGCAGAGTCTCTCGAAATACTCAGCTTCTTTTCCTCCCGATAATACCTCTGCAAACAAGCCACACCAGAGCAAGAGTATCTCATATCATCAGGGTTAAAAGCAAGAGTATCCCATATCATGCTTTTTCCCTGTCTTTTCTTTTGGCCTTATTCTTACCTGTAAGACAAGGAGAAAAAGAGCAATCAGTCAGCACTTGGAATCAAGCTTCCAGTCAGGAACTGACTGCCTGGAACCCCTTGCCTGATTACTTACCTGGCATTGCTCTCGAGTACTCATCTTCAACATCTTATGCTTCCAGAGAAGATACCACATCTGCCTGAGGAACAGATAGGGCAAGTGAGAAGGATACAAGGAAGCATGTGGAGACAAGCGTAACAGAACACGTGCCGATACATCCACTTATTTGTCAACAGCAAAAGTATCTCATATCATCAGGGTCGAACGTACTCTAGATTTGATGGACTTGTTTTGACCCTCAAATTCTTGAGTCGGCCTTATACTCTGGAGGAAACCAGAAAACCCTCCAGCCCAGTTCAAGAATAAGCCTGTGGAAAGTTACTTCTTCAAAAGCAAAAATATCTCATATCATCTCTTTTCCATTTGCTTCTCCTTATCCTTGTTGCTGTTTACGACACAAGGAGAAGGAGAACAATCAACCGGAAGCCGAAGTCGAACCTTCGATCCAGGTTGCTTGCTTGGAAGTCTGATTGCTTACCTTGTCTGTTACCTCATTCGGCAAATCTCCTAGCTCGGCGACTTGGGGACTCCTACTATAGGGTTTGTATCGCACTTGACCAAGCCCGAAACTACAAGTAAGCTTCAAGTGAAATTGATACATTACCTTGTGCATCTTCATCGGTTAAAGATACCACCCCTGGATGGAGGAAAAGTACTTCCAGAGAAGATGCCACATCTACATATGAGAAAGATAAGGAAAGTGAAAATGATACCACACTTCGGTACTTAGAAGTTTCGTGATTACTCAATGGCTTGGATCTTGCAAGTCCCCAACCGAGGAGCTTCCCTCACTCGGGAACTTAGGGGAGCACTGTTTGTACCATACTTGACCAATCCCAAAACTACTGAGCACCGGTCAACGTTATACCGTCAAGGACCCAGAAGAGTTTCCCTCCAACCAGGAGGCCAATTCGACATCAAAAGCCAATCATAGCGCGACACGTGTCAACATTAGAAGCCAATCACAACACGACACGTGTCAATGTCAGAATGAAACTAGAAACTCTCTTCTATAAATAGAGATCATTCTCTCACAATATTTCCTAATGTCATTTGTACTAAATCATTCACTAGTACTCACTAAAGGAGAGCTTGAACCTATGTACTTGTGTAAACCCTTCACAATTAATGAGAACTCCTCTACTCCGTGGACGTAGCCAATCTGGGTGAACCACGTACATCTTGTGTTTGCTGCCCTGTCTCTATCCATTTACATACTTATCCACACTAGTGACCGGAGCAATCTAGCGAAGGTCACAAACTTAACACTTTCTGTTGTACCAAAGTCCTCGCTGATTTTGTGCATCAATATTATGAAATCATTTTTGTTGTGGTTTTGTATGATTCCCTTTGTATATATGAATTACCAAGTTTACTTGATGAGAATGAAATTGCCGTAACTCTTTCCTAAATTATTTTTTAAGTAGTTGATCGTATAAGCTTAATGCTTGGGTGCATTGCTTTCGTTGCATTTGAGTTTACCCTTTAGTAGTGTATTATTACACAGTTTAATTTCGGATAATTTCATACTGTAAACAAAACGCTTGTGCTTTTCAAATTCCATATAATCTGACTTTTTTGGCTTTGCTCAAGTGAAAATACCTTGGGTGCATTGCTGCATTACAAAGTCTTTACTATTTGATATTGGTCTTGCAATGCCAAAGACCAGATACGATTTGTTATCGCTATCAGCATTTGTGAGAGAACTTTCTATTATATTAATGACTACAATTGTATTTGCATTAGAAAGTGGTAGATTTATAAAATAGATCGCTCATTGTAGATTTGCTTTTCGTGTTATCCATTGAGAGTAAAGTACATGTTACACATCTTTCAAGTGAAAAGTTCTGGAAAGTTGATCCACATTTTCATAGATTGGTACGGACACCAATAGAAAGTGGATGGGCTACGGGAAAGGAAAGAGGCAGATTTTGTGTTTATGGCTTGGGACATAGGCAAGCAGAGAATTGTGGTTAGTTTTAGGTTTGATTTGTTTATGTTCTTTTTTTCTTTTTTATTTAGTTTCTTTAAGTTTTTTGTACACTGTATTGTATACAGAGTTTCAATAAATGAAACTGAGACTTTTATTTGGGTATGTGTGAAGGAGTTCGCTTTTGATTTCTGAGACATGCTTTGGCTAATCCCTTTCTCGATACAATTGGTACCAAATCCCTATTCAAGTGAGCATGTTTTGCTAGGGTGTAGTATTTGTGAGATGGGGAAATACAATAGTAGGGTTGTTGGCAAACATGTTGGAACTTTCTTACCATCTGAAAGCATATGAATACTTAACTTTTTCATAAGGAGTTGTGGGATCATTGGAAGCAGATTTTTTGTAACATACTGGAATGAGATGGAGTGCATGCGTTTATCAGGTGTTTATAATGCTGTTTGGTGGTTACTTCTTTCACCTGTTTGAAATTTTGTGTTGAGGTTCCTCGCTAGAGTTGAGTGGCAATAGTTCAGTCTTTGTGGGTCATGTGGTCCGACTTATTTTAAGTTAGGTGTGTTGAACAACAAAAATATACAACATAAAAAAAAATAGAGTCCATACAAATTGGGTCAGACTACAAGCCAAAACAAAGATGTAAACCAGCCCAAAAAGTTAAGAATGGGCCTTACATACAAAACAAGATCCAGAAATAAACAAATAAAAAAAATAAATATGAATTTCTTCCTACAAAAGGGGGGAAGAAAAAACGTGCAACACAGAAACCTCCTATCTCTCTGCAAAACGTGAAAAAAAACTGCACTAGTCGTGGGAGAGGTTAAGTAAAAGTGGCAGGAGTTCATGGCCTCCAAATTTCCCCACGTAACAAATCCTAGAGCTTTCCTAGGATGCCTATAAATAGGCATCACCTGCAGCAAGAGGGGGAGACAAAAAAAAAGGGGGGGAAACTCTGCAGAAAATAAGAAGCAACTTTTAGAGAAAATACCAAAAGCAACAAGGTGATGCTAGGAAAGAGAGCAAGCTATTCAACCATTTTGTGCTTTTGAATCAAGATCCAAAAGAAGAACATTCATCACCAGGTATGAAGCAAGTTCTTTTAAAATTATTCTTTTTCTCTAGTTTGATGTTATGTTGCAAGAAGAACAAAAAAATTGCGGCAGCAAACACAAAAATAAAAAGCTGCAATGAATGAGGAAAGGGAAACAAGCAAGAGCATATAAGACCTTTGCCTCTTTGTTTGGCGTTCTTCACCAATTAAATGGAGTTGGAGACTCTAAATATCCACCGACTCCCCAGCTGCAGCAGAGATAATCTAAGAATCCCATGAATTTCTTCGGGGTGGCCTAGAGCACCCCGTGAAATTTTAACCAAAGTTTAAATAGTCTACTCCTTCGCCAGATTGTCAAGTGCAATTTCAAAGCTCTAAGCTTAAGTTCCCGAGAAATAAGACAGCAAGGAGTCAACATATACAAAGATGCAACTCAAGAAAGAGAAAAGAAATTATTCTATTTGGTGTTTTTGTTTTTGCTACCCACGGGTACAAAACATGGAGGATGGCTTTGGCTAAAAACTCTACTAAAACCATTGGGGATAAAGAGTCCAAGGAAAAGGAAAAGTCGGAAAAGAGGATGTCTCCCTTTATATTTATAAAGCTCCAGCAAAGTTGATGATGTTTGTTCAAGTGTTTCCAAGGTGGACCAAAGTTAAAGCATGGGACTTCACCAAAAGAAAAAGCATGGGACAAGTGGCTGTTGTGTTTGGAAAAATGGTGCAGCTATATTTAGGGAAGCATGCCATGTAAAACACTCCGAACACCAAACTATATTTTCTCATGGGTACTGACATTAGCTATACTCAAAGGTAGCTGTCATGTTTGAAAAAAGGAGCAGCTAGGTTGGAAGAAACATGCCGTGTAAAACACTTCAAATATCAAACTATATTTACTCATGGATACTGAGGAAAAAATGTTATGGATGACTAATGTTGATAAGAAAGAAAAGCAAGCAGACTACCATGAGCATGGCTATTTTAAAACCACTCACATGACATTCAAATGGAAAAGCATCGAAGGCAACACACAAATAGAAAAAAAAAAAAAAAAGAAATGGGTGCGTTACTACAAATTTCAGGGGGGGTGGTAATTCCCACCTTTGGAGCCATGAATCAACAATTGTCTTCAGCAAACTCGGTACTGCAAATAGTGTGTCCAACAACCAAGCCTGCGACGACTGCACAAAAAAATTTATCACGGTTCAGAGCAGCTTCAACCCACACCAAATCAAGTACAGAAAATAGAAAACAAAAAAAAAATGGAATGACCTGCTGGTTATTTTCTCCTTTTCGCTCTGAATTTTCAATACACAAGAGAAGCATAAGCAAGATGGTACAACAAAAAGAAAAGAAAGCCCGTGGCCTGTATAAATAGGTCTCTATGGTTTAAAGGGAAAAGAAGATAAATTAGAACAAATCAAAAGAGTTTGAATTCCGCCAACCTTACCCATTCTTACTCTGAAATCCACGGATACCCAATCCAAATAGAAGTTTGAAATGCAACGAAGTCCACAGAAGTCCAAATATAGCGGAATAGTCGCTTGCTTCTAGAGGAAAACCACCAGATTTCAAAGCCAAGGGAAAGAGGATCGTTGAAGCCATCTTACTGGGGGGATGAGGATGCTAAATCCTCAAAATCATCAAGGAGAGGCACGGCAGGCATAGAAAATCAAAGCATAAAAAAAAAGGATAAAAGCAAGGGACCTAAAACTTAAAAAGGCATGCCAAGGGAAAGAGGATCGTTGAAGCCATCTTACTGGGGGATGAGGATGCTAAATCCTCAAAATTATCAAGGAGAGGCACAGCAGGCACAGAAAATCAAAGCATAAAAAAAAAAAAAAGGATAAAAGCAGGGGAACTAAATCCTAAAAAGGCATTTATAAAAAATGGTACTTTACCGCTTGCTTTTATTAAATAAAGCAAAGACTTGCTTTGCTACTATACTGCCCAGTTTGTGTCAGGCATGAGCACAAGATAGAATGAGTTTCAAGACAAAGTAAATGAAGGCAAATACAAGAAAGAAAGGTTGCTCATCACGTGGGAAGTATGGTCTCACCCTAAATGCACTAAGCTTTGATTATTAAAGGAAAAGACGTGGGTCATACTTGGTAAAATCATCAATTCGTTTTGCCAGTCATCATCTTTTGGGCACCTTTCTTTTGCCAAAATCTGAACACAAAACCAAATCAAATATTTAATGAACTATGCCGGTTTGATTCTATTAAAGATACGTAGGCAATCTAATATCAAGTTATAGACGCAACCGTGAAACCGAAACGAATCCTTGGTTTATATAAACTAAATTCACTCCTACCATCAAATACCAAAATGGCACGAAGCCGAAGAAAAGTTTCAAAGGGCACGAAGCTGTATCAAAGTCTCAAATGGCACGAAGCCATATCAAATTTTCAAATGCTCCTCGCCCGCATGAGCTAAAACTGCACAAGGCATCAAATCCAAATAAGTACCAAATTCGTGAACTACGAGTGACTTGATCCTTCAAGAGGGTACGTAGGCAATCTAGGATTCGACCTAGATGCAATCACAAAATCAAACAAACACCAAAGTCCTCAAATTACATTTTATTCAAATTAGAATCAAAGGGTATTCCTTTCCCAAAAGAAGGGTTGTAATTAATAGGCACATAGCCTAGAATGGGTCGAACTCGAATTAATAAAACCCTCTTTGGAAAATTGAACGAGGGTGAAATTGTGTCGAGCGAATTATTTGTTTACATATTATGTACAATTTTTGCTCAACAAAGTGCTCAAAGCTCAAAAGTCTAATAGTTCAAAATTTTGAATCTGCAGCTTTATTCAATGGATGGTGTGGAAATAGTGATGATGCGTACAACATGTTGGTTCAGGTGATGCAGATGATGGCATTTCTGACTTGTATATTCAAGTAAGATGTCTCTCTCAGATTGAGGCGGAGTGCTATATTAAAGATGCAGAAGACGAAGACTTGTCTTGGTAGAACTTCAATCAAGGTAAAGACTGTCGGGTTTTCTCGCAAATTCTAGTTTTCAGATTTGAGTAGATTGGGATTATTGAGTTAGTATTTGGTGTTTCATATTTGCTGTATGGTCTTTTCTAGATGTGAGATAAGTCTTTCTTTGTCACGAAATGAATGAGTCTTGAGATTTCACAAGTGTTTATGGGGTCAGTCAATGATTACAGTTATAAAAAGTGTGAGATTTTCAGAGGTTTATAAAGTCATGAGACGATATTTTTTATATTAGATCGCCTTTGGCCAGTAATTAACCTTAGATTGTTTTGGATTATCAGTTAGGTATTGAATTGGGTGTCTATGGTTTTCCTTGTTGAAGCAGATACTCAGTTGATGGTAAGTTTTACCTGTAGATGATGCAGATGATGGCTTTTTCCACTTGTATATTTAAGATCTCTCCCAGATTGAGGCAGAGTGCTATATTAAAGACACAGAAGACGGAGACTTGTCTTGGTAGAACTTCAATCAAGGCAAAGACTGTCGGGTTTTCTATTAAATTCTAGTTTTCCGATTTGAGTTGATTGAGATTAATTGAGTTTGTCTTAAGGTATTTCATATTTGTTGTATGGTCTTTTTATAGATGTGAAAGAAAAGCCTATCTTTTTCGTGAAATGAATGAGTCTTGAGATCTCACTAGTGTTTACGGTGTAAGTCTATGATTACAGTTACGATATTTTCCTAATAGCTTGACTCTGCCCAGTAATTAACCTAAGATTGTTGTCGATTATCAGTTCGCCATTGAATTGGGTGTCTTAAGGTTTTCCATGTTGTAGTAGATACTCAGTTGCATGGTTCCCTTAGTACCGCCTGTAGCAGAAGAACTGATTCCCACCCAAATCGAAGCTTCCCAAAATGAGCGTAACTTTCGTTCTTTTAATTTCATAGATCAAGTTGACTACTTTCACAATGTGGGAAGAAGCCCCCACTACAAATCGAACCGACCAAATGATGGTTTCCCCAAATGTGATTGATTTGAAGTTGTATGGTCTGATGCCCTTGATTGTGAATTATCTTGTAGTTGCCAAGATTGAAGGAGATAATTTGATTACAAACTGTTCCGAACATGTTACAGCACAAATGTGGTAGCCACTGTTACCACGTCATCGCTTAAAAGACTAACTTAGTATTGTATGGAATTGAAATGAAATAATAACTAAATGTATATGATTGAAATGTTTTAGAATAAATTGTAGCAATAGTCTCTTAACTTTAACCTAATTGAAGTAATGATCTATCAACTGAAAATCCGTGACCAGTGGTCCTTTAACTCATCGTAATGTGCAACTATAATCCTTTTTGTCAAATTCGTTATACCTTGCGTCAAAAGAAGTCATGTGTCACGCATGTGAGGTTAAATTAAGGGCAAATATGAAAAACCAAATGAGAAAAATTGTAGGAATTGTCCTTCAACTTTAATCCAATTGGAGAAATGGTCTTCCAACTTTTACCTAATTGTATCAATGGTTCTTCCAGCATGACTCATCTTGATGGAATTCTGACGAAATTAACAAAAAAGACTATAACTAACGTTTTGATGAGTTAAGAGACCAATGATCATGAATTTTTAATTGATAAACTATTACTCTAATTAGTTTAAAGCTGAAAGTATATTGCTATAATTTTCTCAATATTTTAAAAATATTGTATACGATTATAATTTCACCCTAAGGGATAATGCAATATACCCATAAACTATAGAAGAAAAATTAATTGGCAGCACAGGAATCTGTCCAATCTGACTAAGAAATGTTAAAAAAAAAAAAGGAAAGAAAAAGCCTACTTCTGTCCTATTTCAATTTCACCTAACCCGCCAAAACCACTCATAAATTAAAGAAGAAAAAATAATTGGCAGCATGTGCTTTGATGCGTTGAATCAGGTCCAATCTGAGTTCTTCTATTTTTTGTGTGATAAATGTGTAATCTGGATCCGGTGTATCAGTGTTTAACCGTGAAGCACATCCCACCGTCCAATTAACCTTGAGCAAAAACAACAAATGTCTTCCTTTGTCATTGGATTCCACAAACAGAAGCTGGATCGTCCGCTGTGAACGGGGTTGTTCTTGATAAACCATAAGTTGGTTGTTTGTTATGACTCTTCCACTACAGATGCTGCTGCTAAGAGTTGGGAATATACTCTTGTATTATCTCTTATATTTCGGGATTTATATAGACTAGTTAGTTGTAATCAGTTTGACTTGTAACTCTTTGATGTAATTCATTCCTATAAATACAAACACACAACCTCTCTTAGATTTAACTGAGTTGAGCATCAACAACTGTTTAAGCCTTTTATAATCTTATGTGTGATTATTTCTCCTTTATGGTATCACAAAGCTAAGAAAGTCTCACGACAACCCTAGCAATTTTTTTTTTTTCGACATGGCCTCTTCTGCGTTTTCCTCCTCCGACTCCTCTTCTGCCCTACCCACTTCTGCTATCCCTAATGTCTCCATTTTTTTGACAATCAAGCTTGATCGTACCAACTACCTTCTTTGGCATGCGCAAATGCTCCCCCTGCTTCGTAGCAGGAACCTCGTCTCTTTCGTTGATGGCACTAGTCAGTGTCCTTCGGCTTTTCTCAAAGATACTGACGGCAATCTCACCACTGCTGTCAACCCCGCTTTCGAACTTTGGATGCAGCAGGATGCCATGGTTATATCATGGATCAACAGTTCCGTTCACCCCACTGTTTTGGCCACTCTTATTGGCAAAACTAGTTTTCACTCCGCTTAGACTTCTCTCCGTGAGCGTTATGCTTTCACATCAACTGGTCGTCTTTTGCAACTCCGGAGTGATCTGATGAACACGCATCGTGGTGATTCATCCATTGCTGATTTTTTGAACCGTGTGAACTCTCTCACTGACACTCCTCTGTCGGGGTCTCCTGTTTCAGACTCGGACTTGGTAGCCATTGTTCTCAACAACGTTGGTCCTGCGTATGAAAGCATCGTCTCGTCTGCTCAAGCTCGAGAGGATGCCATCTCTTATGGTGCTTTGGAGGCCTTGCTTCTCGGTGCCGAACGTCGTCAAAAGATAAGTCAGGTGGTCCATCTTGATGCTGCCCCTACTGCCCTCGTTGCTGGCCGTGGAAGGCGCGGTTTTCAGGCCGGTGCTGGTCGTGGTCGTGGTTTTTAGGCTGCTGCAGGTCGTGGCGGCCGTGGTCCTTTTCAAGGTGGTCGTGGCGTGATTCGACAGCCAGGAGCTCGTGCTCCTAATGATGGTGTCCTTGGTGTTGGCCCTCAGCAAGGTCATGGCTTTAATCCCAATGGTTATGTTCAGTGTCAAATCTGCCACAAACCTGGTCACTCTGCTATCAATTGCTACAATCGTATGAACATGGCATACGAAGGTCATGTTCCTACGCCCAACCTTCAGGCCTTTGCTGCTGCTGCTCATGCTCCTGACCATCTCCCCGTGGCTCCTCCTCAAGTTCAAAATTGGCTCTTTGATTCTGGAGCTAATGCTCATATTACGAATGATCTGACACAAGTTGTTGATCCCTGAGAGTACAATGGAAATCACCATGTGAATGGTGTAGTTGGCGGCACAAGTTTGCACATCTCTAAAGTTGGTCACTTACATATTCGCACTCCCTCCCATACCTTTAATCTTTCCAACACCTTATATTGTCCCAATGCTTCTACCAATATTATTTCTATCAATCGTTTTACTATGGATAACCACTGCTCCCTAACCTTATATCCCCATTCTTATCGTGTTCAGGACTTAACAACAGGGAATACCCTTTTGCAAGGCCGGAGTAAGAACGGCTTCTATCCTTTTTCCAGTCTTTCATCAAACAATAAACATGGCGTTTTTGCATTTTATGGTGGTCGCGTTTCTAATGTCGTGTGGCACTCTAGATTAGGGCATCCCTCTTCTTCTATTTTAAAGTTTTTAGTTGCTAGAAATAAATTGCCAATTCATGGCCATGTGACTTCTGCTCTATGTCATTCTTGTCCTCTAGGAAAAAGTCACAAGCTTCCCTTCCCGCTTTCAAGTTCAAATTCCAAATTTCCTTTAGATTAAATTCATTCGGATGTATGGACTTCCCCGTCTTACTCGATTGATGGATTTAAATATTATGTGATTTTTATTGATGATTATTCGCGCTACTCTTGGATATATCCTTTAAAACTAAAATCCGATGTGTTTAATACTTTTGTCACTTTTAAGAAACTCGTTGAAAATATGTTTAGTAGACAAATCAAATCTTTGCAAACCGATGGTGGTGGCTAATATATGAATCATGCTTTTAAAACCTATTTATCCTCTCATGGCATTCATCATCGTTTTACATGTCCTTATCACCCTGAACAAAATGGCCTTGCCGAACGTAAACATCGACATATGGTTGAAACTGGCCTTACTCTTCTTGCTCATGCATCCATACCTGTCACGTTTTGGGTAGAAGCCTTTCACACTACCAATTATTTGATTAATCGCTTGCCTACCAAAGTTTTACATAATGAATCTCCCTTTCAAAAATTATTCTCCACTCCTCCTCAATATGAATTTTTAAAGGTTTTTGGATGTGCATGCTTCCCATATCTTCGCCCATATACTCAAACCAAACTTCAATTTCGGTCTAAAAAGTGTTTTTTTCTTGGATATTCTTTAAATTAGCTGGGCTATCGTTGTTTTGATCCATCCACGGGCAAAATTTTTATGTCTCGCCATGTTATTTTTGATGAAAAATGCTTTCCCTATAAGGATATGGTTGTTCCTCCCATTCTGCATGTTCCATCCCCTAACATGATCAACATTGACCATGTCCTGCCACCTACAGTCTCAAATCCCACCAACTCTCACTGTCTCAATCCTATTACCTTGCCAACTAATTCTATCCTGCCACCTACAAACCCACTCGCCCACACTTCCCACCGTGTCAACCCTATAAACATGCCACCTAATCCTACCCCACCTCTACCTTTATCTACTCCCACTCCACCGCTTGCCAACCCTACTATCCCTATCATACCAACCACTCTTCCTCCAGACTCCACTATTTCCCATACCTCTAACCCTTCCCCATCCTTACCTTCCCCTGCGAATATTGGGATCATGAGCACTGTGCCATTGACACCTTATCTACCATCTCACTCCATGCTTACCCGAGCCAAAGATGGCATTCGTAAACCTAATCCCCGCTATGCTTTAATTGCTGTCACTAATACTTTGGTTGAACCTTCCAGTTTTACATAGGCTAACAAATGTCCACGGTGGCGTCAAGCCATGGCTGAGGAGTTCACAGCTCTCCAACGCACTGGCACTTGGACTCTTGTGCCGCTTCAACCACATCTTAATGTTCTTCCCAATAAATGGGTTTACAGAATCAAACGCAAATCCGATGGCTCAATCGAACTCTTTAAAGCCCATCTTGTTACTAATGGCTTTCATCAGCAGGAAGGCATTGACTACGCTGAAACATTTAGTCCTGTGGTTACTCACGCCACCATCCGATTAATTCTTTCTGTTGCACTTTATTACAATTGGTCTATCCGACAGTTGGACGTTCAGAAGGCCTTCTTACATGGTTCCCTCTCTGAAGATGTCTATATGCGACAACCCCAGGGCTTTGTTGATCCTCAGTTTCCAACTCATGTCTGCAAATTGCAACGTTCGCTTTACGG